ATTTCCATAGTAGCCACAACCTGTGGGGAAGAAACAGGAACGTTCTTATGACAATGGTAGTGCTGCCTGGCAGCTGACGGGAGCCTGAGCCAACAGACAAGTGGCACAAAGCATCTCCCGTTTAGTAAAAGGTCACCTCCCAGCAGCAGTGGGTGCTGGACCCTGCCTGCTACTTTCCTCCTTTCATGGGGTTCTGATGCCCTTATACCTTCTCGGATACACTTCTGTCATCTACCTCCTGCTTCTTAGCAGCAGGCCTAAATCTTCCAGATGCTTGTGTGAGTCACTCAGGGACCTGAGCCTGCCTTTATCCAGGGTACCTTGGGCAGAGGTCTTTCTCTCCCCACCAGGGTGTGGTCTCTGCTCTGATGTGAAGCCCCCTTTCCCTAGCAGTCTGGGCAGTGGTCTCTTTTTACTTCCCCTGTCTTCTCCATAGCCCTTAGACCTGCTTCAGGATTTCTCTCTGAATAAATTATAATGGTGTTGCTCTTTTGGTGCTTAATAGCAAAACAACTCAGACAGCAGGGTCCAGGCCTTGCTAGAGAAGGAATTGCCTCAGGGGAGGCTGCACTGGGTGGCCGGGAAGGGGACAGCACCACAGTTGTGTGGGATGCCCTGCTGCCCAGAGGGGAGGGGAAACTGAAGCTGTGTTTCCAGAGACATTAAGAGGGCTTCTAGAGCTGACTCTGTCAAGTGTGCTCCAGTTTGAAACAGTAACTTTGGAGCTCAAGCCCATGGCCCTCCTGGGCAACACTGCTCTCTGGAGGATCAACTCACACTTAGGGAAGGCCCCTTCTATCCGGTGAGATACCATATTGACTGATTTATGCCAGGCTTAAAGCAGATTCCAAAATGCTGCTGGGAAACCAGCCCTGTTCCTTCCACTGCTGTCTTCTGTCCTGAGTCATCACTGGATTTATTACAATGAAGCCCTTGAAGTAGGGAGGGACCTGCCATCTAGTTGGTAAGGCAGCACATAGCTGTATCCCTAGATCCCCAGGCAGGACTACTATCCCCTGAGCTTTATGACCTCACAATCCCATCAGATTCCTGGGTCTTAGAGTTGGAAGGTCTTATAGTCTCCTGGAGTAGAATCTCAAGCTCAGTAGTCTGGTAGCTTCTGCTTAGGTTGCTTACACCTCACAAAGCTGGCGCCCTCCTGTAGCCTATCCTCAGTATGCCCACATCCAATGTCTTATTACCTTTCTTACCTTGCCTGGTGTGCTCTGGAGACACCTCAGCCAATGGCATGGCTCTTCTCAGTTATGTGCCCCAGAGGTGATCTGATGAGTGGGGAAACAGATGCAGACATGTGCCTGCTGCAGCGGGGCTTGGCCTCCTCACTGGCTAAGGGCTCTGTGCTGGGTGCACTTTCAGTGCAGGGCCTTTGCACATGCTATTTTCGCTGCTTGGTACACTTTCTAACCTTGTGGATCCCACCCCCTCCCTGAGGGAATATGAACTGGAGGTGAGCAGAGCCTCCTTTTCTGTTCACTGTTGTGTTCTGGTGCCCAGTCCCAGTATTCAGAAGGCTCCCTTGGGCATGTGCTGAGCCCCAACCTGACAGGAGCCTTAAAGCACTCTTTCTGTGGGTCCTGCCCTTATCCCACCATTTATCAAGGATCCCCAGACTGACATCCTAGTGGGCAGCTGCCTTCTGTGACCTACATCCTCTGTCCTTACCTAGACTATGTGCCAGGCTGATCAGGACCACCTTTCTCCTCAACATGAGATTTGAGAGGAGTGTTGGACTTGGTGTCAGGGAGCCCTAGCCAGTGTCTTGCCTTAGTGGCAAGGAGAGGGTTACCATCTGTCCAGTTCTCTGACCCTGCCGCTTGCTTCCTATTGAGTTGATCCCAGCAGCCAGTGAGGCTATGGTGACACTGGGCCACGGCCCGGCCACCCCCTGCCCACATGCCTGGGGACCCAACAGCCCTGACGGGCATGGCTTTCCCCTATCCCCACCTCCCTACCCCCCAGGATGTATTCGAGATGCGCTTTGCCAAGATGCCAGATGAGCCTGAGGAGCCTATGGTGGCAGTATCCTCCCCTGCGGTGCCACCCCCCACCAAGGTTGTGGCTCCACCCTCATCCAGTGACAGCAGCAGTGATAGCTCCTCGGACAGTGACAGCTCAACTGATGACTCTGAGGAGGAGCGAGCCCAGCGGCTGGCCGAGCTCCAGGAGCAGGTGAGGGCATGACCACTTCCAGCCCCTGGAATCCATGAACCAGGCAGTCTCCCCCAGAGGTCTCCACGAGATGGTTGTGGCTCTGAGTTCTGGTAGGAGCAGAATTCCCAGTGGTGCCCTTGTGTTAGGTCATGGGCATATCGAACATACACATAAGTACACCGCTAGTGGAGGTGGGAGACGTGGCTGCTCTTTGGGCAGAGGCAAGGCTTCTGGGACTTTCCAGTGTGTAGGAGGAGGCCAAGCCAGGTTGTCCTGTCCATCTCTTCAGGGGCTGCATGGTTGCTCTGCTCCCTACAAGCTGGCCATTAGGCCTGTAGTGTCTATAGTCCTGCCAGTCTCCTAGGGACCCTCCTCCTGGGCCCCGGATGGCCAAAGGGCTCGACATCTTGTCAGTTTAGGTGGCTCCTCTGGGCACCTTTGGAGCCGAGATCCTGGGTGGGCATGGGCATTTTGGAAATCTGATGGGATGGCAGGTCACGGAGCTAAGTCCCAGCCCCCTCCTTCATCCCTGGGCCCTGATATTTGGGAGTCCTCACAAGACCAGGGTGACAGGTGTGTGTCTTGCCTGTATACTTCATAGCTCAAAGCCGTGCACGAGCAGCTTGCAGCCCTCTCGCAGCCCCAGCAGAACAAACCAAAGAAAAAGGAGAAAGACAAGAAGGAAAAGAAAAAAGAAAAGCACAAAAAGAAAGAAGAAGTGGAGGAGAATAAGAAAAGCAAAGCCAAGGAGCTTCCTCCCAAAAAGACCAAGAAAAACAACAGCAGCAACAGTAATACAAGGTCTGTGCCACCTGAATGCCCCAGTGGGGACCTAGCCTGCCCCAGTCAGTGATCGCCTCTGCTCTTCTCCCAGGGATGAGCCTTTGGCGTTCTCCAGGTTTGGGGAGAGAGGGAGGGTGACAGGTAGCACAGTACAGATGGCAAGGACAGCAGCCTCATTTCCTGTGAAGACCAGCAGGGTGGGAGTATGGAAGCTGCGCCCCCTCCCCCCCAATCCCTCAGTGAAGGCATGGAGTGGGTGCCCAGCTTCCCAGGGCACGCATTCCTGACAGCGTCTCCGTTGTCCCTTCATAGCAAGAAGGAGCCGGTGCCTGTGAAGAGCAAGCCCCCTCCAGCATACGAGTCAGAAGAGGAGGACAAGTGCAAGCCCATGTCATACGAGGAGAAGCGCCAGCTCAGCCTGGATATCAACAAGCTCCCTGGTGAGAAGCTGGGCCGAGTGGTACACATCATCCAGTCAAGGGAGCCCTCACTGAAGAACTCCAACCCCGACGAGATTGAGATTGACTTCGAGACCCTGAAGCCATCCACCCTGCGGGAACTGGAACGCTATGTCACCTCCTGTTTGCGGAAGAAACGGAAACCTCAAGGTGCCCTTGGGTTCTCATGGGGGTTGGGGGAGTCCTAGCCAAGGGAGGGTTGGCCAAGCTGCTTTCTCCTGCCCTTCCATCAGGGAGGCTCCTGTGGGCAACTCAGGTGACTCTGTCTTCCAGACTTGGCTTTTTCTATGATGATAAAATCTGTGTCCTTGACGTAGACACCTCTGGAGGATTGTGACATGGCACTCAACCCTAGGCTTTCAGTGCCTTTCTTGACTTTTCTGGCTGGTGGCCACCTGGGGCCTACCTGCACCTTGGTGTACTAAGCCTTGCTCTGAGCAGCAGCTGCTTTTGTCTTCAGCCTGTGCCATTGAGTCTTCCCCCGAAAAGACACACATACCACCCCCTCCCTCTGAGGGTTGAAGTTGGGAGAGTCTTTAGGGCAGCTCTACGCCTGTCTGCCATTCTTCTCTAGCTCAGCGTGGCCCCCCTCTCTTGGACCTTCCAGGCAGTCCTTTCATGTTATAAGTGCCTTGTCTTGGCTCAGCTTTTGTCTTAAGACCAGTAGGACTTAGGATCCATAGTATGGCATTGTATGCAGACTTCATCCCATCCCAGACTAACTCCAGGGGTCGTTGGGTCCTTTTCACCCACTGCCAGGAAAGTTACTGAAGGAGCCTTATCCCGATAGTCCTCATAGAAAATTTCCTCCTGCCTGTCTCTTAATCCTAATGAACTCTGCAGAGGGGATTCTGAGAGATTGGGTGGGGGTCGGGGTGGAAGGGTGAACAGCTTGAAATGTCAGTATAAGCCGAGTTTTTGTCTAGTGGGCAGTAGGTTAGCATCTTATCACTGGGAAACATGGGGCTGGTTGGGGTCTGAATGCTATCAGGGACAGCCCTCTGGCTCATGGGGCACAGACTGCCCCCTGGACCTTCCTCCAGGCAGTAGGGTACACCTGGGTTAAGAGCAGCCCCGGGATTGGGCCCTACCTAACGCAGTTCGTGTTGCTTTACTACAGCCGAGAAAGTGGATGTGATTGCTGGCTCCTCCAAGATGAAGGGCTTTTCGTCCTCAGAGTCTGAGAGCACCAGCGAATCCAGCTCCTCTGACAGTGAAGACTCCGAAACAGGTTAGGGTCCTACTCAGCATCTCGTCCCACTCCTGCCTGTGTTCAACACTACTTGTCTTATGTGACGTCATAAGAATTATGTGGCCACTGTTTTAACACTCTAACTGGGGTGGTGGGTAGCCCGGCACCCTGTTTTCTCCCTCTTGGCCTGGGCTAGGAGGAGGACACAAGTGGCTAAGGGTATTGACATTGTAGGACTAGGGTGGGGGGAAGCTGGTGAGGATATTGGGTGTTGGGGCCTGGGGTTGGCATTGATCCTAGTGTGACCCTACCCACTCCCACAATCTTCCCTGTATCACAGTCACCTACAGTGTGGCCATCTCAGGTGATATGCTTTGGTAGGTGTGAAGCAGCCTACTGTTGGCCCTGCTGATCCTGGCCTCAGGGCACTGCCATCCCCTTCAGTTGTCCTCACTGCTTTGTTGACAGCTCCAAACACTTGGACCTGGTTATCCTAGCCTCTAACAGTACTTCTCTTTATGCTCTGTGGGCCTGCACATGTGCCCCACCTGAGCAACAGCTTCAGCCATGGGAGGTGGGGCAGGTAGAGATGCTGGGAGCTGCACAGTGGTGGGAAAGGGTGCCTTCCTCCAGCTCTTTGCTTTCCTGATGATATTCGGGAGCAGAAGCTCAGAGTAGCTCAGAGAGGCTAAGGAAGAAGCCTGTCAACTAGCCCGTGCTATGAGATGGAGCCAGCCATTTCCATGGCGTGGCCACTGCTGAGCAGACCATCTGCAGACTACCTGAGAGCTGGTCCTGGGGGCCTCAGCATGTCCTTCCAGGCAGGCAGCAGTATACATGTCCATAGTGGGGAACGTGTTTTTGGACAACAGAGCATGTTCTTTTGTGGACCTGTCCTTACTCTGGTATTTTATTCTAACTGGAAATAAACCATAAGCTCTACTTAATTCATGTAAATAATGTGATCTTATGGTACCAAGGAGGTTTGAGGATCATTTATAGCATCTGGGAAGAGTGATGCTGCTCTGAGGTGTGCATGCACAAGTCCTCATGTGGGCTCAGCCTGCTTCTGTCAGGGGAAGCTGGGGACCAGGGACCTCTGAGCCTTGTCATTGTCCCTCTTCCCTATTATAATAAGGGAACTAGACTGCCCAAGTCAGTGAGGGACTCGCCTTCGCGAGAATTAGAGGGCACTGAGGGCTTCTCCCAGACTCCAAGTGCTAGGTTACCTCATTTTCAGTGGGCCCAAATGAGATGAAATTCATTAGGCCATGTTCTGTATATATTGAGCTACTACTGTATGCAGAGACTGGTATATGCAGTTTGCTGGCCACTTCTGTTGCCATCCTCTACCCTTTTTTTACTTTGTTTCTAACCATCACACACACACACACCCCGTTGCATTTTTATCCATCTACCTGCAGGGGGCACCACACCTCATGCTTGCTCTCAGGAAGGGCTGCCTGGCCAGGCTGCTGCCTTCTACAGGGTATATGGCTGTATTCTTGGGCTCAGTTAGCATTCTTGGTAGCAGCTAACTTCTCACTTTGGGTGCCAGCCACACCTTGGGTTTGCCTTCATTCTGATTCCCAGCAGGCTGTTCCTTCTACGGGGTTTTCATCCTTTCTCCTAAGGATTTGAGTGGTCAAAACAAAACACTAAAGGCTGAAATTGTCATGCGACCTAGTCATTAAAACAGCATAGCTTGCCCTAGTCGTTTTGGCTCAATGGTTAGAGTGTCAGCCCATGAACTAAAGGGTCTGAGGTTCGATTCCAGTCAAGGAGGGCACATACCTCAGTTGCAGGCTGGATGCCCTTCCCTGGTTAGGCAAGTATGGGAGGCAACCAATTGATGTGTCTCTTTCACATCGATGTTTCTTTCTTACCCACCCATCTTCCCCCTCCCGAAAAGCAATGGAAAAAATATCCTCAGGTGAGGATTAAAAACAAAACAGCGCACAGCATGGCTGAGGGGGAACTGCTTTTGCTGAGGTGGCGCTTTAGAGGGGCTGTGACTGGCCTTTCCCTTGGCCCCCAAGCTCAGCAGGACTGCTCCAGGGCTCCCAAGTGCCCTGCTACTACCTTTGTGGGGCAGCCGCGACAGCATTTCCAACAGCTCTCTGCTGCTGCCAATATATTTTTCTTTATTTATTCCACATTTTTCCCTCTCTTAAAGAAAGTAGAAAGATTGTACAACAAGTAATCTGAGAGTCCTGGGAACAGCTGCCTTGGCGGGAAAGAGGGTGAGATTTACAGTCTCTGAGCTGCCAGCCTGCAGGCACTCGGGCTCTAGCTGTCCAGCCTGCCTCTGGCTTATTCCTCTCCCCATGCACCCTCCCCACCTTGGGTTTTGTGAATTTCCCTTTTGTCTTCTTGGTTCTGGCTTTTCTTTCCCATAAGTTTGCATTGGAAAGCTCTGGCATGGATCAGCAGGGGCTTCTGCTCTCAGGAAGGACCCACCTGTGGGTTTGTGCACTGTGGCTCAGACGCTTCAGGTCCCAAGGTGGGAGGGATCCTGTGACCCTGCACCACCGAATATAGCCATTACCACCCCATCCCTCACAGGAAACTGCACTCACTTCCTGAGCAGCTCTTCCAGCGTTTGCTCATGCTGGGTCCATGGAGCCAGACAGCCCTGGTTTCTGCAACCAGTTACAGGTGGTTCTGCCTGGGGGAAAAGGAGCTGGGATTAGAGTTATTTTCCTTGGTCTTTTGGGACTTAAATTGTTTTTCACTCCTTGGACTTTTGTTTCTGTTTGGATTGGAGCTGAAATTCCTGAAAGGGCCTATATTTCATCACTTGTATTAAATAAGGGTCAGTTCTGCTGATACAGCCCCATGACACGAGTCACCAAAAGAAACTGAACAAAGGCACTAATTTTGGGTTACGCGTTGTACGTGGGCCCCTCTTCTGGCTGCTGTACACAGACAAGGATGGCGAGGACAGCTCGGGGCACAGGACTGGTCCTCAGGTCGTGTTGCAGTTCAGTGAAGCGGTGTATACTCACAGAATAGGGGAAGGGGTGCAGGCACTACTTTCCCAGCCCAGCCCAAGGCCACCACATGTTCCCCTACTCAGCACACTGCTTTTGGCCTCTTCTACATCTTTTGAACCTGGGTTTAGTTGGGTTATGGTCTTCTGTTAAAAACAAGTCTAGCTAAAATCTGAATCTACTTGAGGGTTCAGTATTGGGAGGATGGGGTGGGCATAAGTCCCACCATCCACTGTCCCTACGGCATCTGTAGACTTTAGCTCGGCCGGCTAAAGGTGCCCTGGTTCCTCCTTTTCACTGCTGTTCCAGGTGGGCTGTAGCCTCCCTGACACCAGTGCTAGGATCATGTCTACCTGGCTCGTGGGGCCAGGGACGTCCTAGGATTCTTTATCCTGTTCCCCTCCATCACATTGCTGATGTCTGGCTCTTTCTGGGAGGGGGTAGACACACAGCTTATGTCCCTCTTATGAATAGTCCTTGTCTACAACTGCCAGGGCTGGGACCTGGGTTCAGGGAGCTGTGGGGTAGTTCTCTTGGGCTTGGCCTGGTCTAGTTGCAGCGGGAGCACAGTCCAGCTATTTTAGTCTCCTCGTTTCCTTTTCCCAGGATTGGAGCATGTGGGTGTTTTTAAATAGCTCCAGGGGGAAAAGGAATGCTTTATGTTTTGGAAAGATTTGAGCTGGAAAGTGCAGACAGAGGCCATAGGGCATTCTTCCCAGACAACTAGCCTCAGCTTCTGACCCATGGGGTCTCTGGGGGACTTGATCCCAGTTCGTTCTTGGGGGCGTACTGCTGCCCACTCCAAGGGTATGCCAGTTGTTCTCAGGGGAGTGGAGAGGCCCCTGGTGGGGGTGGGGAAGTAGGCAGAGACCTAGACGGCAGGGCTGTAGCCAATCTGCCCACACTGCCAGGTGACCCCTCACACACCCACACCCAGCTGGCGGAATTCTGGGGCGGGGCCAGCCTTGTGGAATGTGCCCTGAGAGGCTGCCCAGTGGGCGGGTTTTTCCCATGCATGCACTGGGAGACCATGGGAATGCAGTCAGTGTCAGTGCATCCGTGACTCTGGCAGAGGCATCTGCTCTGCTGTGTGGGTGGGAATGACCCCGTGCCTCTCCCTGGTCAAGGGGAGCTGAATTCCATGCCCCGGAAAAAGAAAGTACAACTTTCCCCCTGTCCTGTTTTT